GGGGGGGGTTGCATTTCTGCATTTCTGTGTTCAGCAGTTGGATGCCTGTAACGTTACAGTCAGTACTGGGCCAAAAAGACCACTTTTTTAGGGAACCAATAAAATCTGGTCTATGTGGACATGTGGCCACTATAGACAGGGTTCTTAATGCTTGTGCCAATGGGAGAAAGTACAAAATGTAAGTTACCACCAAGAAGTGGCCACATAGGCCAGGTGGTCCTTACATAGAGGTAGTCACTTGTACAGGTACTGTACTTCACTTGCAATGACAAGACTTTAATTTTTAAACTCTTGAATTCCACCTTGGAAGGTTAACCAGTGATCCACATACCTGGGTGTTGCAAAGCTTGTAGACCAGTCTCTCTCCAACACAGTACCGACCTCCATTGGCTGGGCTGTGACATGCAATGAAAAAATGTACATCGTGAATTAAGATCTAGTTTCTCAATGTTTAACATGCATCAAATGTTTACTCCAGATGTATCTGTATCTGCATAGCCAGTATAACCGCCCTTCGGCGTAACACACCAGCTTCGCAGGCACGCGGCGCGGCGTCAGCTGGCTAGATTACACCGAACGACTTGTTACACCTAACCTGTATTTGTAATGTTATATATAGTTGTGAATGAATTTTGAGTGCCACGCTTCAACTGTTGCTCTCCTTCAGAAAAACTCTTCCTAAAAACATTGTGAATCTTGAAACATTCAAACAACTGACATCTGTATGACAGGTATAACCTCTAAAGGTGACAAGTTGGGGTCTTATGGTTAGGGTTGTTGAGTTAGAATCTAAAGGTTCTGGGTTCGAATCCCTAGCAGCCCTGGCAAAAATATCTTAATGACTGGACAACTCACACAGGGGTGTTGCAGAATCTCTCTGCCTTCATCACTCCAGTGCCACATGTCCGGGAGCACCTGCCAAAGTCAGACTCGGACGGGACGCTCCACCCTCCATCTACGGGGGCCGGAGCAGTGCTGGTACGCAGGACACACTCCCCCCCACGGCACCACTGTGGAAAGATCCATACATGTTTCAGTCAAGTGCAATCGTTTATTTAAATTGTTAGAGTTATAAATTAGTTTGTCAATGTGCATGTTTCCAGAATAGAGTCACAAAAATGGACAAAATATTCATTTTGGTGTTTCAAACAGTATTCTGATATTTATATTCAGAGAACATAAAAGTTTTGAAATTGAAATTAAAATTAAAATTCCACTGATAAAATTAACTCAATCTTGATTATTTACACATTTTTAAAAAGTTTCAACAACTAATTACTTATAAAAACATAGTTCATTTCATTTTTGGCACAGTGACAAGTCTTACACATTCCTAGACTAGAGTCGTAAGTCACACTCCAGCATTCTGCAACAGTATATCAAGGCCTTGCCGACATCAGGCATTATAAGTTAGTGTATCAAGACGGCCATACTGCATGATTGTACATGTAGCTATGGCTGGTATGTTGATTAAGAACTGGAGTCAGGACTACTAGAGGACGTTGGATGTGCCCTGACCTTGCCGGTGCCACAGCTTGTTCCCTCGGCGGCCGGTGAGGAGCTCCACCAGATCTTGTGGTTGGGCCTGTCCAGACATGTCAGTCTCGTGCAGATGCTCTGTGTAAAACATTTAGGAACAGATTATTTGACACAGTTGGACAACATAACATGATGTAAATCCTGTGAGTTCGCACAATTTCCCTGAGTTTTTTTTTGTTTAGAAGATCAACATAATGTTTCTCCTAAAATCACAAAACCGCAGAACGTTAACGTCATGAATGTGGGACAGTACATTATCAACTGCCTTCAAAGAAGACGTCAAAGCCCACAATTCAGTACCTTATGATTGATCAGGCTGAAATTGTACTCATTGTACTCATAACTAATAGTGTACTTTTACTATGAAATGTTTGATGCAATTAGCCTTTGGGCATGATTTTGCAAACAAAGATTAAAAACATTGTCACTCACTTCTGCTAACAGGTGGTTGCAGCAATGATAGCAATGATGTTGATTGAAAAGTATTTACCTTATAAAAGCTGTTATTCAAAATCTACTCATTTCTATTCAAAATAGTTTGATAGGCTGAAGGATGCTACCCTAGAAGTCATGTTAGTTTCTGGAACTCATTTGCCTGTTTGAATTTTAAGAAACGAAGACTTGATGCTTACACTGCGGAAGTATTTGTGTTCTTCGGTCCCCTTTCCGAAGCGCAGCTCACACTGCTGGTCTGCGGTGTAGCGTTCACCTGGCAGTTCTCCTGTTGGCAGAGCCAACTCGGGCGGGGCGCGTGGGCTCGGGCTGTCATTCAGGCAATCCGATTGGTCTGTTCTGGAATAAAAAAACACAAGGTTCAGTCCCATGGTTTGCCAGAATTCAATCAAATCTATATATGTCAAAGCCGACGTAGGAGAGGGACTTGTGGGCTTAATTGCTTGAATGTGCTGTCTTTTAAGCAATCCAATTGGTCTGTTCTGGAATTAGTAAACATGAGACTCAATCCTATGGTTTGCCAGAATTCTATCAAATCTATCCTGCTTCAAAGCTGTCAAAGCCAACTTTGGAGGGGCTCAGGGGCTTAATAGCATAGGCTGTCGTTTAAGCAATCCGATTGGTCTATTCTGGAATTAGAAAACACAAGGCTCAATCCCATTTCAGTCTGCCAGAATTCTATCAAATCTATCCTGCTTCAGAGCCGTCAAAGCCAACTCGGGAGGGCTCGTAGGCTTTGGCTGTCGTTTAAGCAATCCGATTGGTCTGTTCTCACTCACTGAAATTAGAAAACACAAGACTCAATCCCATTTCGGTCTGCCAGAATTTGATCAAATCTCAAATCTCTACCTCGCAAAGCTGTCAGAGACTCCGGTAGAGTAAACTCGTCATAATCACGCTAAGCGAAATGAACCCTGAGCCCGAGGACACAGTCACCTCCTGACTGGGAGGGAGTCCGTGGGAATTCTTGGAACCTTCACAATGTAGGTCTGACCCGGGAATCAAACCCAGACCTGCTCTACCCTTGACACAAATCAGGAGAATCAAAACAAGTAGGGAGGAGTGCCAATAGTGCAAATTCGGGATAACTTGCCCCAAAAAAACTCTTCAATAAGCTTTTTGTGATAAGATTTTTTTTTCTTTTCTTTGAGTGAATTGGACAGTATGTAAGAGAGGACTAAAAAAGTGTAGAATAGACCAGACTTAAGGATGCTTTATTGACTCCATTAGCTATCAAACAAAGAACAGGTCTTCCAAGATGCTCTTGACTGATATTGCCCTAATCTCCAAGCAGGTCTGGTGAAGCAAGGGGAATCTACAAATGTATATTGGCCTCCAGTACCCATTGGCTGCCCCACACCAATGGATACAGGCGGCCAATATAGACTCCCCTTGCTTCACCAGACCTGCTTGGAGATTAATACGCCCTAGGTCCCACTTGGGAAAGACACATTAAAGATGTAAGACATTAGCTACACATGTAGCTAGCCTCTACCAGGCTTTGGGAGCGGCAAATGTTCTCTCTAGCGGACCAACTCCTTGGCATGTTATCTCTCTATTTGACTGATTTCTACTCTTTCCAGCCATCTCCCGAAGCCTGGTAGAGGCTAGTAAGACATGAGATCTATGGTGAAGACAATTAATATGTGTACTTACAACAGGAAGTGTGAGAAGTGGTCAGCGCTGCAGGGTGACCACTCCATGTGGCCCGGCCCGGTGTGAGTGGCCATGATGAACTGACCGTCGGCGCAGTTGTTCTGGTCTCCATCGTGCCGCATGCCCAGACTGACCACAACAAAACACAAACAGGTTAGAATATAGAAATGAGAGGGATTCCCTCTAGACTTTTGAATGAAACAGAAAAATTTGTATTCCCTTGAAACCCACTCCGCCTGCCAACTTTCTACTGTAAAACAGACACATGCCGCAGCAGCTACATTCCATACACCATAACAGACTGGAACAAACTTAACCTACAGACATAGCCACATCCACATCCCTACCGAAGTTCAAAATGGGACTGGCCTGGCATATGGGCCCTCCATATCCAAGTGAACACTTATCATGCTAAGACAGCCAGCACCTTATTAAAAGATTTTCACTTTGTTTTGAGGCTATCAGGAACACACATTGTACATACCTGTCTTTAGCTTGGTTCAAACACAGTTTCTGTTTGTAAACTGCTTTAGTAATACATTGTACATGAACAGGTGGGTGTTGTCCCTGGCAGTAAGTGTGGCACATTTACCCTAATATTCTTTCTATTGCCAAAACAACTTCACAGTATTGCCCATGTGCCCTTAAGTACTTTCCATTGCCAAAACACCCAATTATCAACATCCTGTAGGTGCCAGTTGTGACTTTTAAGTTGTTCTTGCTCAGTGGGTAATCTGCTAAAACTGATTTGTTTGTAAGAATAGACTAACTAATAGTGTCCTGTTATGCTAAAACTAAAACGATACAAAAATAATGCATAAAAACAACAGGGACTTACTTGTGCCCAATCTCGTGCCCCAGTAGGAAAGCACTTCCCAGCCCGCTGTCTTCATTCAGTGAGCAGCTCCTGTCTTCTGAGCACATCCCTGACACAGGTGCCATACCTGGGGACATCAGTCACGGGCCAGGTGAGTTATGGTTTGATTTATTGAAATTGTAAGAATGCAATACACACGTGGGACACAGGCAGCTTTTGCTGGTGTTGTGTCCCACACATAGAAACAAATACAGGACAGCTAAAACATGAAATTTCCCTTCTAAAGGTAAATCTGTAACATTATAGAACTGTTGAGACTTGAACGTCAAAAGTTGATTATTCCTCATGTACAATTCTGAAAATTCTCATTGCAATGGTTATTCCCAATCATGCTAATTAGATACGAGGTATTACTAGCACATACCTGCAATTGCACATGACTGGCCTGGTCGGCACATCTCCATACTGTAGAGAGACGTGAGACATACATGTGAGAGCGTGCTACATTTTTTAAAAATTATTTAAAGTTCTTCTTACACCATAATGTATAGGGTATGACTTGGCTGGTGATTGATGAACCTTAGTACCCAATGCAAGGTGAACACTCTACTCACTTGGCCATTAGGCAGGTTTAAACTAAGTTGGGGGAAATTTGCTGCATTTTTGCAGTGCAGCTGTGTTGTAAGACCTGCTGTAGTTGTAATGGGGCCTGACAGGAGTTGTAGTGGCTCTGTGGGTCACGGTGCCAAGTGTCAGAGCAAGCAAATAATCCATCGCTTCTTTTCCTTAGCCCATTCTCCGCTGTTCTCTCCTTGACACTCTTTAAAGCAATTCTGTAAGATTCCTGTGATCTTGCCTCAATTACACAGTGTGTTACTAAAATTGGTTTCATGTTATGAAAATATAACTATTTGATCTCAACGATCTTGCCTCAATTATACATCATGTGGCTAAAATTGGTTTCATGCATAAATATGAAAATATAAGTATACCATCTCTATTATTTTGCCTGAAGTACAAATGTATGCAGCATGTTGCTAAAATTGGTTCCATACATAAAACGTGTGTTATGAAAATATAAGTTTACAATGCCTATTATCAAGCCACAATTATGCAGCGCGTTGCTAAAATTGGTTCCATGCATAAAACGTGTGTTAGGAAAATACGAGTGTATGTTTTCTCTGACCCTGTGATGAAGACGGCATGGTCCCAGTGCTCAGGGTGGTCGTCGGGAAGATCGTACATGATGTTGTTGTAGCCGTGGTTCTGGGTGTGCTGCCACTTGCAGAAGTTGTGCAAGGTCTTCTCAGTGTCATTGTTGTCTGTTGCAAACTGTGAAGGAAAAGGTAAAGGAGTCATCCTCAAACTGAGGTGATACGAAGCATGATCATTTATCGAGTAGCTAATGCAATGCCTTTGCGTTTATAGCCGACCCCTTCTCTTCTCGTCAAGTATGTTGGGTTCGTTTACGTGAAATAACAATTAAAAGTGTCCTTGTGCTCAGCAGCTGTCCTGTACCCTGTTCGTGGCTAGATTGAATGTCAACTTCATTGTGCGTACATAATTATGATACATGGCATGTTCTTATGACTGTCTTAAGTTAAAGATATCAATTACTTAAAATTGGTTTCATGCATAAAATGTGATTGTCTTGTGACTTTCTCGAGATTAAGATATCAATTACTGAAAATGATTGATGATTATCTCGTGCCATTCTTAAGATGAAGATATCAATTACTCAAAAATATGCCTCATGATTGTCTTGTGATTTCTCATCTGTCGTCACACTGCATACCGACCCTGCAGCAGGAGTCATACCAACACTTCGTCATTTTAAATATTCGGAATACCGATCAACAAAGTTATGCCTTTAGTGACTGTATCGGAGTTTACTCCGATTGGTCAAAAACAACGGCCCCTTTCAAGTCTACCGCCAAGTTCCTCCAGGGCAGTCCGAACGCTTACATTATCTTTCATAATTGGGCCCACTCGGCGTCAATCTACCACTTATCGATGATTGAAGCGGTCCGTATGGACCCAATTTGATACGCGTATCCAGTCGGTGTGTATCTGCCGGCGGTCTCACCTCATTGCCCTCAATTATCCGGAGTCGTAAAACAGCGAGCTGGACGCGATGTCCGAGGGACCCTCTGTTGTACAGCAGCTGCACCTGTTAGGGTAACACGAACAACACACACAGTCAGTCGCTTTGTGAGCAACATTTCAACTTCTGTTTACAGTGACTTAAGCCACGACCAGAGAAGCTTTGAAGCTCGTTAAGTTGCCATTTGCGGTAGCACTATTATGTTAGACCACCGTTGATCCGAAACTTAACCCCTGTATAGAGTTTCTGCTTTGTAATTGATCTCAATTAAGACCTTTAACACAGTAAAGTAAGCTTTACTCTGGATCCAAAGAAACCACCTACATGTACATCGCGTGAGAGTTTTCCGTGCCGTACGTCGCAGAGACGCTCAAACCTACGACACACGGCGATACAGTCGCAGAAGAAACATCGTAGGTGCTTTGTACGATGTATGTGACCGTGGCTTAAGTCGAGGCAAGCTTCAACAAAGTTCAGTTAAGATCTATTTAGAGCAGCGAAAACTGTTATGGTGCCAAGAGAAGAGCTCCGTTCCTTTGCTGCTCAAAAAACACGTGCCTGGCGTCGCATGCACGAGTGCACGCGTTAAGTCACGTGACCTGAGCTATTGGTCATTCAGACCTGATGAAGAATACTAGTGCATTGCGCACGCGTCGGAACGAAGTTTGAAGCTGAATATTCAGCAAGGAAGCACACTGAAGAAGCACACTGAAGATAGAATAGGGCGTCTATAAATATATACAGTACAAGTACAGAATGCAACGTCTTCTTACCGTGTTGATAACGGAGAGGTAGTACGTCGTCGCCCACTGGAACCTCTCCTCGGCGCTTCCCTCGTGCAGGCTCTCCACCTTGTCCCAGGCGTTCCTGTCCACGAACAGAGCCAGTTCGATGGTGAGCCTCCGGGAGGCGGACAGACGGTTCCTCGAGTTCGAGCGAGCCGCGCCCCGCTTGGTACGACGGGGGTGCAGGGGCTTCGCCGCCGCATCTAAGTATACAATGCGTCGATGAAGGTTAGACATCCAGGTAATACGATACGCCAAAAAGCAGTTACTCAAGCAACTGAATATGATTTTGAAAACGTCAGACGTTTCAGCTAGTATCCACTAGCTTTCGTCAGTGACTGAGAGACCAGAGGGGAAATACAGGTTTATAAGCACAACCTATTGATTGATATGCAAATAAGGTGAAGACAAAATTTTTTTTGGAAGTCGAAAGTGGAACAAAAGTATACAATGTATACCATATTAGTTACTAGCCTGGTAATAGCCTATAGCCATGAAAAGAACTAGAAACAGTCATGCCTTCAAATATCAGAGTTATCAACCAAGAATTGAGGTGTTCAAAAACTCGTATTTCCCAATAACTATCATAGACTGGAAGTCGTTGCCACCAAGCACAGTTGGGGCATCATCACTAGAAAGCTTCTGCAATTAAATGTGCAAAGATTGAGTGTAACAAGTCGTTCGGTGTGATATAGCTAGCTGCCGCCGCGTCGCGTGCATGCGAAGCTGGTGTGTTACGCCGAAAGGCGGTTATACCGGCTATACAGATACAGATAAATATCATTCCTCTATTAAACTTAAAGAGACTCCATGCATCTATCAAGCACCTTTTAGAAGACCGTGTTCCGACAAAGCCGAGACGTCGTCCAGCGTCTGAGAGCTTCTCCTGTAGACGATGTGAGGTCTGCCCGCCTGTCCGTCCAGCGACCTCGGGTGCCTGGAGCGGTGCGACAAGCCCGCAGACAGCGGTGTGATGACGAAATCCTCCCCCGAAGCCACCACCACGCCATGCTTTTTTTTTTTATTCAGAAAAACACATATATAAATACAGATATAGAAATACATATTGAACCTTTAGCACATCGCTACACCAGTAACACCTTATAAGCTCGACTCGGAATACAGAGGTCCCGGGTTCGAGTCCTGGCATGCCACCGATCTTGTGCCTTTAGGAAAAGCACTTTCCTCACTTAACTCAAGTGAAAATGAGTATTGTCTGTCCTGTATTTGTCCTCTGCGTTGGTAACGGTATAAGATAAGTTGACATTACTTGAGTGTGCCGTCACCATGTCCAGTCATGAAATGTAAAAAAAAAGCTTCAGTGCACAGTGAACCAATAACCAGCATCAGCACATGGTGAACAAGTAACACATAGCTTCAGTACACCACGCCATGCTACATATACACACAGGAGAAGTCAGTGCCAAACGCGTTCAGCATAATCCTTTCTGGGGGTATTTTTAGACCAAACAATACCCTTAACTATTTTTAGGCGGCCTCGGTGCGGATAACATGCTGTTCTTTTGTGCGACGAATTCTATAGTGATGAATTCGACATGCCTGGTCTTTAAGAAAGGATAACCTTTGGTCGTTGCCCGTGTTAAACGTTAGGGAGAAGAAAGGCTTGAATACGTACCAGGCCATCGCAAGTGCTGAGCGCGACGCTGCTGCCCGGCAAGTCTTTCACTTCCCCCGTGAAAAAACAATCCAGGGACGTCCGAGGAGCGACCTCCCCGTTCTTCCCCACGACCCGGAGGCCGGCCGCCGCCACAGACATGTCTCTGGTGAGGTTCAGCAGATGTTTCGTGCCGAAGAGCTGGACGGAGTAGAACCGTCTGTCGCCGTCTCCACAGCCTCGGTCATGGAGGCATCCGGCAGAACTGGCCAAGTCCGATTTCATCAGGTCAACTTCTTGTGGAACAAAGACGTCGTATTCCGGAACTGAATGAATAAAATAAATGTCTTTATTTTAGGTATTTAACCCATGGGAAACAACGGTACAGACATAGAAACACAAACTATGCATCATCATCATCATCAAACTATGCATACAGCATCTTTACATCTGAAAAAAATTCTGACGAAGTACGACTTCAGGTCAACTTCTTGTGGAACAAAGACGTCGTATTCCGGAACTGCAGTACACGAAGATATACATATATGAATCTCTATTGCATGTCCTTGCCCAGATGGGCTAAATGCACAAATGTGACCAAATGTGGTCGAGAGGATAAAAAACATGAGTATTGCACACTGGAACGCTATACTCTAATGCTAAGTGCTAGGAGTTGGTGGTGGTAGCGACAAAAACGGGCCATATATAAAAAGCAAACGATCTTCCACCATCAACATCTGCTTGGAGAGTACTAGGAGTCTATATATTACAACAATACTATGTAATCCCTGTAATACCTATCATCTACTGTTAGTTGCCCTTTCTTCTTTCTTATACAAAAGAGATTACAAAAACTTGAAAAGAGATTACAAGAAGAGATTACATGTAGCTAATCAATTTTGTTCTTTCATTTCTTGGTGTTTGACACAACAAGATTTACTACGCGTCGACTACGTCATGAGTCATCGTGATGACGTCAGAGTTCCCTTTGTCGGTAACACACCTATTGTTTACTCCGACAAGATAAATGTTCAGAACTTCCGTCCTCCTTCTGTTGTTTCTGTCATGTGGCTTCACGATAAAGTGATGTATGGTCTTAGTCATCACAACTTGTTGTTCTGTCCTTGCTCTGCCCTTTAAACCATACAGATGTTTATCTACTACAAGGCTTAACGCTTGACTAGATGATGATCCAGTCGCTTTCATCCTTTGCCAAAAGATAAGGGAGCTTTAGCAAGTCCGCCTTGCGTGTGTTTTTGTCCATTTTTATCAGTTTGTGGATTATGAAGTACATGTTAAGGGCCTAGCCCCATAGCATGCCAAAAACTGGGAGTTTGGGGGTCTTCAGGGTCTTTGGGAGCTTTCATGTGCTATTTTCTGATTGCATATAGACAACATAGCCGGCCTGGTTGAATTACCCCCGTTTTTTAGAACTGGGCTAATCAGAAAACAGCCAAAGACCAGCAAACCCCCAGTTCTATAAGCCTGCTACGGAGGCTATTGAATCTGGAAATACAACGCTCGATACTCTCCAAGCAGGTGTTAGGTTAACGACAAAGTAGAAACGCCTAAAAAGCTTAGAGAAACAGGCCTAACCTCTGCTTGGAGAGCATTGCTAGTAGCTATATACCTCCTTAGTACCTACGAGTGCTTTTGTCCATTTTCATATTTGTGGATAACGAGGTACATAGCAAGGACTCTACACTGCTAAAGTTGGAAATGCCACGCTCGCTTCTCCAAGCAGAGGTTAGGTTAAGGACAAGAAAAGGCCTAAAAAGCTTAAAGTACCTCAAAAACAGTCCTAACCACTGCTTGGAGAGCAACGCTAGTAGCTCTATTGGAAGCTGCGAAGCATCCGATATCGGCTGCTAACGAGGCGCGACAGAGTTCAGAAATGACACATCTATCAACCGCTGTGGCGAGGAAGGGCAAGGGCACGGTAAACTCGCCAACTACCGTATCAGGGGCGACGACATGCCTGGTGCATCAGGACAATCTTTTCCGTACTCACTTCCAAGTAGGTCATCCGTTCCTAAGTGCAACTTCATCTCGTCTCTCGTCATGTGTTGGTGTATTCTTGGGGATACTCTCATCTGTGGGGAGAAGTGATAGACATTGATGAGTGCAATGTTAATACAGAGATTGTGTGTTTTGTAGGATCAACGCTTTAAACCCGGTGAGGGGTCGTGTGGCGTAGCGGCTGAGTGCTCGACTCGGAACCAAGAGGTCCCGGGTTCGAATCCTCACGTGCCACCGATCTTGTGCCCTTGGGGAAGGCACTTTACACGACTTTCCTTACTTAACTCAGGTGAAAATGTGTATTATGTTGTCCCCTGTGTTGGTGGTGACATTAATGTAAGTTTAAAAAACTTGAGTGTGTCGTCACCACGTCTTGTGATTACATGTTGGAATATATAAAACCCGGACAGTTTAATTTGTTGGCGTAACTTCGAGGCTCTCGCACGCAAAACGTTTCGGGCAGACACCTCTCTGTCCCGGGCGATCCACGAGGGACCACAACTCTTATGGCCTGGAGGAGGAATCCCCTCTTCTCGTCTGAACCCTGGCATATTGCGTGACGCGCACGAGTCTCGCGGCGCCTTCAGCAGTCCCGTCACCTTTCTCGGAATATCCTTCTTCTTGGAGGCTTCTTGAAGATTTCATAGCCTCTACCAGGCTTCAGGAGGCGACTGGAAAGAGTAGAAATCGGCCAAATAGAGCGATAACATGCCGGGGGAGTTTGTCTGCTGGGAGTGGGCAGTTTGCCGCTCCCGACAAAATGTTCTCTCCCAGCAGACAAACTCCCCTGGCATGTTATCTCTCTATTTGGCCGATTTCTACTCTTGTCAGCCGCCTCCAGAAGCCTGTGGTAAAGGCTAAAGATCTCGTGCAAGCTCGTGCGGAAGATAACACGATGTCTGACTGTGACGGCAGGCGCGACCGAGTTACTGAAAGCCGGATCTGCGACCACCTACCGCCTGGGCTCCTTTCTCATGGGCTCTGCTGGCATATAAACAGACATGTGAAGTGCCAAGGATGACGAATGTAACTTTTAATGTTATACGAAACAGATGCCGCGACGTGTGAAAATTTTGATATCATAGTTCTTGAATTACGTTTTACAGAAACCTTCACATACAAGTACAAGTCAGTGACCGTGTCTTTGACGTTGTAAAACAAATGGAGAAACTGTTTCATGATGCTAATGCATCAGTTTGGAAACTAGTGCAAAGATCCTCCCTGACAGACTTAACGATTGTGTCCTTTTGAGGGGGCAGGCGCTTTTATTATGGCATATCGCTTCTATTTGTACTTTGGGTTCTTTATGTCTGCGCTGGGCCGGAAAAACAGAAGTGATATGCCATATATATAAAGAAAAACAAACTTTACACAAGCTGACACACAAAAAACCAATCGTAGAGGCTGGCAACAAGACTTCTCAAGGTCTGGGTAGCAGTTGTCGTTTCAACATCCGGATTTGTCGCTTCAGGGTTTGTTCTAGTGAAATAAATTCTGGGAACAAAGGGGACTTGGAATCGTTCGAGTCAGTTTGGCACAAGGTTATGACTTCCTTGCCTTTTCTGTCGAGCCCTTTTAGGCTTTTTCCCAAGCCACGGGGTCTGTGGCAAGGAAAAACATCTCCCAAGTTGGGTTTAGTGAAAGAATGCTGGAAGCATGCAGTAACTCTCGGTGAGAACGGACCGCAAGTTGCTCCTGTCACGCTCGAGCGGGCTGTTTGTTGTTACAGACCAACGCCTCTGTTGTACGATGACGTCAGGGGGGAACAAGGAGAACGACCGATAAGGCCGACTGGTCATTTCTTAGAAGGGTTTCCTCAATTATTCCGCACACACCAGCTCATTAAAGTTAAACCTGAACAATTCTGCCAGTGCGACAAGCTCTGGCTCGCACGATCGCGTTTCCTCGGAGGTTCTGAACTGTGTGGATTTACGGGGCCTGAGTTTGCCTTCCTCAGTTTTACAATGGTGCCGAAGTCATCGCATGTAGACGGAAAGCCTTTGACTCCGCCGTTGAACAGTCATATAACTTTATTGCAAATCCATGCCCGAAGGTTAATTGCAAGTGTAATTCAGAAATGATTAAGTTATAGTTAACAATACAATGAACATATAAACATAAAGTGAATTGGAAACTGTCAACCTTCGCTACTTCTAAAAAAATTGGAGTATGATTTCTTTTCTTTGTGCAGTGGATATGAAATGCCCGACGTTTAGATATATGTGTTGAAGACAAACAGTTTTTGTAGGCCGGTAAGATGTATAAAGCTGGCAAAGATTTTGGCGACTAGTTTAGACAACTGATCTCTTGCGGTGCTGCACTGTACAGATTAAACATATCACGCGGTGCTAACGTTGGGTGGTGAACCTCACTAGCCAAGAAGAGATGTATGAACATGTGGCATAACAAGAAATATGTGTCGTAACGTAAGACCTTGTAGGCTGTCATACGTTACATGCACAACTCGTAACTAGAGCAGAGCATTTGGCAACATCAGCCGAAAACGTATCGTTCAGATCAGCTGTAACTTTCGTGGTCTTTGCCAATCTTACTTTCGTGTCTATCTCTAGCCGTGAGTTACTATTATACTAATCAGAGAGATATAAGACACAGAGTCGGGTCGATTTCGATTGTACGGGTTGTTGTATTGTGCTTCAGAACTAATACAGGTCAATGGTCTAGTCTAGAGTTCGGGTCAGGCCTGTTACACAGCACTTGGGTGGACTATTTACTACCCAGCCCTAATCGCATGACGTCAGGAGCGGCAGGAATATGTGTCGTAACGTAAGACCTTGTACGCTGTCATACGTTACACAACTCATAACCAGAACAGAGCATTGGCTACATCAGGCGAAAACGTATCGTTCAGATCGGCACTTGGGTGGACTATTTACTAGCCGCCATAGCATGCCAAAAAGTGGGGGTTTTGGGGGGTCTTCATGGCCTTTGGGAGCTTTTATGTGCTATTTTTTCTTGTTGTATATCACCTGCATATAGACAACATAGCCGGCCTAGTTGATTTACCCCCGTTTTTTGAGAACTGGGCTGATCAGAAAACAGCCGAAGACCACCAAACCCCCGGTTCTATAAGCCTGCTACACTTTGGTGTACTATTTACTACCCGACCCTAATCGCATGACGTCAGGAGGGTTTAAAGCTCCTCGCGGTGGCAGCGATAAAGAAGCCCCGTAAAGCGTGACGGGCCGGTGACGTAGGTGAGGTTGTTTTCATCGGGCCGCCTTACCTAGACAGGACGCAGATATCGGAGCAGACAGGTTCCTAGCCTCTAGCAGGCTTCGGGAGAAGGCCAGAAAGAGTAGAAATCAGCCAAATCGAGAGAGAACATGCCAGGGGAGTTTGTCTGCTGGGAGATAGCCTGGATGCCAGACCTATTGTACACTGGACACAAAGCATGCTCACTGAGATACTCTGTGTCCAGTGTGCTATGGGTCTGGCACCCAGGTTAGCTGGGAGACAACATTTTGCCGCAATGTTCTCGCCCAGCAGACAAACTCCCCTGGCATGTTATCTCTCTATTTGGCCGATTTCTACTCTTTCCAGTCGCCTCCCGAAGCCTGGTAGAGGCTATCAGGTTCCCACCACTCTCCCAGACGTGCATGAGGCAGGCACAGGTTGGGATGAAAGTTCGTCAAGATTTCTCGCGATAATTGGGCGAAACTTAAAACAAGCCGCTTCGGTTTGGAAAAGTGCCCATTTTTGACGGACGGGGCGCCCCTCGTATGACATGAAACAACACATGGTGATCTCCAAGCAGATACCGGGTTCCGGTTCTGTGTTTTTGAGGCTTTTCATGTCATGCGTCTTTCAAGAGAAAAAAAACACACACACACCACTAGAAAGTCGCATAAAAAGCATCAAAATCACAGAGATGAACTGAGGCGAGTTCTGGATGCCGATACTAGCTTATGCATATGTAGCACTGTCTTGTGTCTCATGTCTTGTCTAACAGTTACTGGGGAGGGATGGCGACCGGAATCAAACGTGATATGACTTCGATCGTTTTCTGAAGGATGATAATACATGTACAAACAAGGCGTTGTCCTTACTAATTAAGTTTGAAATGTAGCATTTCCTGTTAAACCGCAAAGTCAAGGGCATGATCATGACGTCATTCCGCCACATGCGCATAAGTCGTGAGTTCACTTGTCCTCAATATGTAGTATGTTATAAGTGCACATGGCTCTGAGTACACTACTGACTGAATCATTAGCTGTACCTGCTCTGAACAAGCAATAAAACGTTTTCCGCTGTCTGAGAGGGAACCAATTTGCGGTCCTCCGAATCTGCATCACAATAGTGACCTCCGATTTGGTCTGGTACACAAGAAGCATAGCATAGAGGCTGTACAGTATACCTAATCTCCAAGCAGATACTGTGGGGCAAGGGGAGGCCAATGGTTACAGGAGACCAATAGAGACTCTCCTTATCCCACAGAATCTGCTTGGAGATTACAGTATGACTGTATTTCCTTTATATGATCTTCCCGTAAGTTGAATCTCAATGCGCAAGCCTACAGAAAGTAGCCTCTACCAGGCTTCGGGAGGCTACTGGAGACAGTAGAAATCGGCCGCTCTCAGGTGCGGCAAACTGTACTCTAGAGCAGACCATGGCCAACTCCCTTGGCATGTTATCTCTCTATTTGGCCGATTTCTACTCTTTCCAGCCGCCTCCCGATGCCTGGTAGAGGCTACTAGTATACAGAAAGGGCAGTTGCCATCAGTGTTACTGACAGAAAAAACGTGACGATCCCCTTCCACGGTAGGAGCACTCCTACTCAGTACCAAAGATAAACAGCACATAAGTACTTCATTCAGTCAAGTGGTGGGGCAAATTTGTTTATCAACTGGAAGTGTGTAAAAGTCAACAAGGTTGACAAAGGGGGCAAGGGCTATGATTATTGTTTAAACAGTGGAGAGATGCTGTTTATTTTGCTTTGCCAATCTAAAGGACGGACGGGGTAACAAAAAACTGCGGTGTTGCTTTTCTGCCCGTTTGCGATTTCGGAACTTCCTGGCGTCTGAGTTTCTCGTCGGACACAGAAAAGTCATACCGTCGCCGGCTCTAATCTCCAAGCACATCCTTCGGTGGCAAGACAGTACGTATCCATTGACCAGAGCAGTGTCCCTTAGCTACCGACTCTGGCCAATGGATACTGTATTGCAATGGAAGGATCTGCTTGGAGATTAGCCGTAATCTCCAAGCAGATCCTACGATTGGCAAGGCAGTATCCATTGGCCAGAGAAGTGTCACTGAAACATGGATGAGCACTTCTCTAGATGGTACTGTATTGCCACCGTATGATCTGCTTGGAGATTATGGCTTGGAGATTCCGTGTCTTGCAACCGAACGATCCGCTTGGAGCTGGTGTGTGTCGGCAATGACAGCCCGCTCCCTGTCCTAATTGATCTATCCTCGCGGTGACGCCGTGAATGTCAGGATAGACCCGAGCCCGGCAGATGGGTATGACTATGAGAAGAGCATGTTACGTTGATGGATGGCGCCGGGTCCGTGTTTGTCAGCGCGCTACACCTGTCCGCGCTTGTCCGGCCGACCCCGCCGCCCTGCACCATCCATTCCCGGCCGCCCGAGCGACGTGCCCCCGAGCGCAACGATCACTCATGACGCACGTCTATCTGACACACGGGCTCTGTCAGTAAGTGCGACCGACTTTTTTTTTATATTCCAACATGTAATCATCAGACGTGGTGACGGCACACTCAAGTTTTTTCAACTTATATTAATGCCGCGCCAAACACAGGGGACAATACAATACTCATTTTCACCTGAGCGAATTGAGGAAAGTCGTGTAAACTAAGTAAAGTACCTTCCCAAGGGCACAAGATCGGTGGCATGTCAGGAGTCGAACTCGGAACCTCTTGGTTCCGAGTCGAGCACTCTGCCGCTACGCCACACGACCCCAACAACCCCCGACTTTTGTTTCCAACGACTACTTTTTTTCCGCAATTTTGTTGCAAGAAATCACTCAAAAAAGATTCCTGACTTTCTTTCCCGAGGCAGTTGCCACCTAATCCTGGTCTGCCTTGTAAGAACATTTGTACCCGTTTCGTAAGAACATGGCAAAACGTTGTCTAACGACGGAAACAAGATAATAGGGTGGCCCAAAATCTAATTGTTTCGAGGTCTCATCAGGACATGCCCATGTACTAAATATCACGACAATCCGTCGAAGACTTTTCGAGTTACTGAATATTGTGTTCAGACGCACACACGAAAGCTACTGAAAACATAACCTTCTTGACGAAGGTAGTTTATATAGAGAAACAATCCTATGAAGTAAAACTGGAGAGTAGTAATAGCGTGTATAGTACTCACCGTGCATGACGGGCCCGCCGTCCACACCAGAGAGGCGAAGAAGACCAAGATTCGTGCCGCGTGCCTCATGCTTGTCGTCGGGACTGCCTGCGCCCTCAGCCGTCAAGCCTGTGCGAACGGGAAGGGAGGGATGGGAGCGGTTACGCTAGTTCCTCACTGGTGGCACACAGTCACTTGACAAGCTGCACGTGACCACCGGGGTTGGTCTTGGACGTGAGACTGGTTTCAATGCTACCCCCGATCGAAGAATAACTGGAATTCCTACAGAAGGTAATTGTTGTGCCGAACCCACAACCAACCGTACACACAAGCTAGGGGAGCCGTGGGGGCAGCGAAAACACTGGCGCGGCCTGCTGATGACTTCGTTGGGAACAAACCGGACTGGTGCCGCGAGGGCAGCGGACCGCGTTATTTATCCAAACCATCGCAAATTGAAAACATTGTTTGTGATGTGTGTCGTCTATGATTAAACAAGAAATATCCGGCTTAGACTAGCAGCGGGCCACGGAGAGACACCCAGGGGCAGGTTCCTGTGGGTGCTGAGAACCTCCGCAACGCGACGGATCCATTTCACACGTTAGCAGCCTCGTCCAAGGTCTCCGCGCTAAACCATAGGGGACCGGGCAAGTCAGCGGTGCCAAATTCTACAAGCTTATCGCCCTGTCCCTAATACGCCACAACCACGACTCACGTACACACGAGACCGCACTACAACTTATATTAAGGCCCGCATTGACCTGATTCGTGTACGAATAAATATTTTTCTTTCAAGAACAAACTATGCCTTGTTATGTTTCTGTGGGAGACATTAGGAGTTACAAATTCAACCATGCCAAATTTACGATCTTATCGCTGCTGCCTAACTAACACACCGGAATCGCTGTTTGCGTAAGTGGGACCGCCGAATACAACTAGGGCACGGCAGATTTCAAGCGTAGTACCCGCGAAATTCGTAGTAGCAAGCACCGACCCTTCCTCTGGAGCAATAAGAAGTACATAACATAAGCGTAACCAAGTCATACTCACTCACCGCGCTAGTAACTCCGGTAGGGACACTTGAACTCTCAGTGATTGTCGCGAGCAAAGTCCTCGGTTCTAACCCAACCCGACAGCGGACGGGGAGTCGGTGCACATAACACGTACTAGTGTGACCACGGCTGTAGTGTCTGCGCGTTTATATAGAGTACAGCCAGGCTATATCGAGAAGCGATACGCAGGCACGGTCTACTCTGACCTTTGGTGACCAAAAAGAATAATTTGCTTCACCCCGCGCCTGTGGAAAGGTTATAAAAGATCTGTCGATCAGCCGGGCTCCTCCCCCATTTCGTGCGGATTAAAAAGTCGAGCGGTGACCGGGCGGGTTTCCTCAACAATTTGGCACGCCGGAACGGCCCTACGTCATCTGACGTAAGCCTGCCTTTCATCACCTTGTACGCGGAGTCCCCGATTCGCCGCTGCGCCTGTGAGCGCGAACTCACAAGGTACCCTACTGGGAGGTAGCCTTTCCTCCTTTCTTCTCACTTAATGTCAGTGCACATTGTATCTGCGAGAGAGCACTCGCTATGGTTGCCGGCCATTGTTGCCGTGATTGAGTTAATTATTGTAACATCGTCACCGCCTGAAAGACGATGTCTGAGGATAAAGCCCCACGACCGGCAATGTCATCCATTAGACATAGTTGTCATCTCCTGTGAACGCCCGGTTTTCAGGCGAATTTGTCGGACTACACAGGGTCAGATTAAAGGGACAAAGAAAGGCTGAAGTTGCAGGAATATCTGTGTGCGTCCATGGAAGTGTGCGTTGCCCAGATACAGGCGGCGGGGAATGGGGAAACTCTCAACTTTCACTCAGTGCGTACAAGGCAACTGGGTCACAGATTTGACTGCATGTAAGACACAAATAGGCCGTAAACCTTATAAAACATGGGGCTGCATATAGCCAGGTCGTGGCGCGGAGACAGGTCTTTGTCCTTTAGAAGTTGGAGGGGCTATTTTTGGTCCACGCAGCTGAGCTCAGGCTCGTCTGTCCCACTGCTGGGAACGAGAAAGGCCACTTTACTGCAAAAGACGTATTTTAAAGCCGTTTAAGACACCCCACGGTTAAAATCCCCAGACCTTGATCAGCATTCAGGGACGAAGTGTCCGTCACGTTCAAACACTTTCGCTTCTAGTTATTATTACAGGAAGATGCTGGTGGTTTGGTCCACGGCCAAGAGCGATCTATTCAACAAGGGGCTAACCTGGATCACCGGAAGGTCCTGGCTAATCCACCCGAGGTCTCTCGCCTCACAAATCTGCCTGTGTTCCCCGAAATCTTTCACTTGAAGAATTGGCAATAAGTCGGAGATTAGGTGGACGCAAATAGCCGCCTTTTAACAGGAGGATAAGAATAGGAGCTGAAAGTAAAGCATTGGCAGGGTACGGCAGTAGTAGGGTAACCCGGGGACGTCCCCAAAGCTGCCGGTCGCGGTGATTCACCAGCTAAAGTTCAACGGTGCTCCCTAACGGTTCTCCATATGTGGTTCTCTCCAAGTTCACGTCCACTTCCACCCCTGGGACGCCGCGCGCCACACACCGACAACTCAGAAACAACAACAGCGAGGCGCAAGAAATAATAATGACGCATACGACTTGCATTGAGATTCTCATAGAGACTTAAAGTCCAGGAGCCCTTCTTGGAATCCGTTCAAGATTACAGCATGAGAATCCCATATTGCGTGGTCACTGCCAGTACAAATGTACTAGGTGTTTGTGTTAAGTAAATGCACAGACAAACAATTAACCGTAAGAGACCGCCTTCCGGAACTGGAGACTGGAAACAGAAGGTTCTCCAGAAGAAAAAGACGTCTTCAAAAGGTGTTAACTCAAAGAGCAGATGGTAAAGCTACAGTCAAGTTGATCGTCAAAACACACTTCGCGTTGGTTTCCTTCTCATTCAGTCAGAACCCTCTTAATGGCGATTATTTTTCTGCGTTAACTTAAATCAAGGTCCATTTCACATGCAGCGAAATGCCAAAATTTGACCGACAAGTAAAATTACTTTGCGTAGCTTAATAGCTGACGTAATGAAAGACGGAAAAGCTCGCTTTTCCTCAAGGTTAGATCTCAACATTAGATATGAGTAACTGGGGGCTAGGCAGGCTATACAATCCGGTATCACTATGGGTCAACTACGGTCACATAACCGAGAAGAGTTCATTGTCCTACTCTCCGCGCGGGCGAGCATGGCTACCTGCCTAACTTCACTTCATTTTTACTGCCTTTATGGGCCTTCACATGACGTGTTACTGGACCGTGTTACTGTTTTCCACTCTCAGGTTCCAGTTACTTCCGCCAAATCGGTTGTTGTCGTATTTTCCAGGCTTTTACTGTTCAGAGAGGTGAGTTCCCATGCAGCGCGTCATCGGTGGGCATGGGTGACATCCAGGTTAGTTTGCCTTGGCAGGTTGTGGCCATTAGATCCCATTGCCGCCACGGCAAAACAAATTACAACGGGGACCTCCTGGCGACTCTGGGCCAAGAGTACAGGTTCCTTCCAGTGCAGACTAGATTCACTCAACCATAACATCGTATTTGATACATGATATACAAACTTTTCAACAGCTTTTGGAACTTCAGATCTTCAGATCTCTAGAACTGGATTCTAATCATCGGATTCTTGTATGTTGTTCACTAACAGCTTTCGTTCATCCGAGGTCCAAGTCTGACTAAAGGCTGAGGTATGCTTAAACAAGGACTGGGTTTCAGATCAAGCTTCCTAAGCCCTTCAAGACACTTCACTACGCATTAGCAGGCATGGTCAGTTCAAGAATGATATTGTTGCAAAACTAAACAGTAACAGAAAAAGTGGCCTCAAGATGCACGCAAGCCTTGTGGAGCGCCCACCTGTTATCAGATGCGACCGCGAGTCTACCTAAGCGGACAGACTAAGCAAAGACTTAGAAATACCTTCTTGAAGAGACCCGATAGTCAAAAGAATCCCAGAGAAAGCCCTGCCCCAGCTTGAACGACTTATACTGCTCTGAAGAGCTTGCTTGTATCATGGAGGTAGAATACACGTATACAAACAGCAGATGGAAGACTTCAGTGAGATCTAGAAACCACCTGCCCTGCAGCGCTCAGGGACGTTTCCTTAGTCATGTCCTCAGCTGCCATGGGAAAGGCAATGCAACTCTCCAAGCAGAGGTTGTGTGGGAAGATCGTTACCTTTTTATACATGGCCAGTTTTTTGGTCGCTACCCCCACCAACCTTGGGTCGCTCATGGACCCTATCTGGCCAATTGGATACTGCCTGGCCAATTTGATACTCTATTTTTGAGACCCTAGGATCTGCTTGGAGATTAAGGCAATGCAGGATATCTACATACTCAGTTCCAACCATTTACAAAAGTCAACCCGTGAACCGGTTACGGCGTAGTCACATTCGTCGTAGGCCATCGTAGGTCATCGCACGTTTTTGATGCCATAGACGTTCCAAGCAGGCTGTGACAGAACCAAACATTGACAAGGATCGATCTAAGACAGCTTTTTGAAGACATGAAGTTTGTACGACACATGAACGACTAACCCAGGAATGCCCTCGGTTTGCGATCGCACACGAAGTATATTGTAACAAACAAGGAGCGAGTAGAAACAGATAAAAACCCCGCTCCTACCGAATCGGCTGAAAGGTCTAGACCCATCACTGGATCGGTTGATAGCGCCTATAAACCCCCCACTGTTACAATATTACCGATCTGTAACAAACCAGGAGGTCAAAAGAAAACCTACCTGGTGTTTGTACAAAAACTCCCGAAGATGCGCGAGTTGGTCAAGGATCGGATCTCTGCGATGGTTGCGGAAGGTTGCTTGCGGATTGGACCTGTTCCCGTCTGCCCAGCAGCGGAATGAGACTGGCAGTGAGAGTGGTGCGAAGCTTATATCTCCGCTCAGCGAATGTAAACAAATCCAGGCACTTATAAGGTATCACTAAAACAACAACGAGCGCACCTTTTTCGCTTTACGAGTCAAAAGCAGGAGTGAAAAGTTAATTGAAAGGACGTGTACTACGTGTGGTAAGTGTAATCCACGCGTGTAACCAGTTAATGACATCATCACGCGGTTGGTTTATCTTGGATGGAAAACAGAAACACTATCCTCGGCTTTCGTTTTACGACCTTTTACAACCGTGTGTGACCCACGCACTGCCGGGGCAGACGCTCAACCACGGGGTATGGCAGGGAGCCACGTTTGGTCAGCTACAAATTTTGCCTTAACCGTTACGTACTCGAGATGATCACGTTTCGGTCTCTACACGGCGATTAACTAGCCTCCGTAGCAGGCTTATAGAACTGGGGGTTTGACGGTCTTCGACTGTTTTCTGATTAGCCCAGTTCTCAAAAAAAAACGGGGGTAATTTAACCAGGCCGGCTATGTTGTCTATATGCAATCAGAAAATAGCACATAAAAGCTCCCAAAGACTCTGAAGACCCCCCAAACCCCAAGTTTTTGGCATGCTAACTGGAGGCTAGCGATTAACCATGAAGGCGAGAACTGTGGACTCTCCAAGCAGATATTTGGACGGTTTAAGGCGTATTTTAGCAGTTTTGTCGGGTTTTCTTTGGCCATCCTGGCCAGGATAAAGGTTGCGGTACATGGTTGCAGTTGGTTGGTTACTTCTCGGTATTAAATGTTAATGTATGGTCTCAGATTTCTTTATTTCAATCGATACAAACTTTATAGCATAAGCTTTACGACGTTTCGGGTTCATAAGTGCGTCAAAGCGTTTACGGCATTGACATGACGTCATGAACTTTATTTATGTACGGTCAACCTCAACGTCGGTTTCCTGTCCTTGGAGAAAGCTGGAGTTTGACACCCAATGTTAGGACGTGGTATCTGTATCTGTATAGCCGGTATAACCACCCTTCGGCGTAACACACCAGCTTCTGTATCTGTATAGCCGGTATAACCACCCTTCGCCGTAACACACCAGCTTCTGTATCTGTATAGCCGGTATAACCGCCCTTCGGCGTAACACACCAGCTTCTGTATCTGTATAGCCGGTATAACCGCCCTTCGGCGTAACACACCAACTTTTGTACATGTATAGCAGGTATAACCGCCCTTCGGCGTAACACACCTGCTTCGCAGGTACGCGGCGCGGCGGCAGCTGGCTACATGACACCGATCGACTTGTTACACTTAACCCTTGAACATCTTACTCTTAACATTGTTTAAATCTATCTGATGACAATGCCCCTACAGTACTTGGTGACAGC